TATTTAGATGGTTAGATAGACAGACAGATAGATAGATAGATAACATGTGATATATATATTTAGATGGATAGATAGATAACATGTGATAGATAGATAGATAGATAGATAGATAGATAACGTGTAATATATATATATATATATTTAGATGGATAGATAGATAACGTGTGATATATATATATATATATTTATATGTTTGGATGAACAAAAGGTGCTCTTCTTAGTAGCGGATGAAGTACATGAAAGCAAAGAAAACCTCAGATCAATTGCCTGCACGATTTCCATAGTTTGAGAGTTTAAATACGTATTTCCTTCTTACTTGATGAGACTGAAGTTTGCGTTCTTGGCAAACAGCGAGGTAGCGTACAGCTCCGCCGTGTCCCTTGGGATCTGCGTGTGGTTGATGAGTCTCAGATTGTCTCTGTTTATGGCAAGATCCTGGAGCTGGAAAAAGAGAAGTATGTGATGTCCACTGCAGGATTTCTAGAGATACCGCTTCTGCTGACTTCGCTAAGCACTGTCGAGCTCAGGGACTCTAAGACTAGGCTAGAAATTGCATCGAGTGTGCCTTCCAGTGGTAAATCTAGTCCTGCTTAATACAAATCAGGTACGCAGGCATATGCTACCCATTCAGGGGCGGGGGGTCTGTCTGCCCAGTGAGTGAGAAATAAAGCCTGATGGACTGTTGGCAGCTAATAGCTTGGTCTTTCTCTGCAAGAAAGTGAATCCATGGGTGAATTCAAGCAGATACCGATGTACTGCCAGGTACACATGTGAGCTTGACTGCACTGGGACTCATAAGCGTCCACGAGCAATTGAGGCTCCTTCAGCAGCTGCTGTGAGCCCCATTCACCCCTGACAAGGGACTGTGCAAGACTACAGATACTCACCACCGTGTTGTCATTATTTGTGAATGATCGTACATCTTCTGCGCTGCTGTAGCGGATGTAACGCCCAAGGTAAGCAGCAAACCAGTTTGCTGTCTTGGGGTTGCTGGCGTTGTAGCACCTGGGCCTGGCAGGACTCGCTACGTGATGAAGGACAGAAAATTATTGTAGACGAGCAATTGGGTATAACATTTAGAGATGAATATCCACAGCTACCTGCGATGCCTTAAGAGTCTTGCTATTAGAGATTAAAATTGCTTATAAGAATCTAGAGTGATTTCAGCATTGCAGACTCCACCCCAAACCCGCTGCGATTCACCCCACAAAGCTGATCTCTGCACTTCAGCCCACACCAGGTGCAGATATGGATTCATATGCCAGCATCTCAGCTCAAGTCATGCTGTTGTCCCAAATGGACAGAAGCTGTTCCCTGCCTGGCGCATCTCAGAGGGGACGTAACTCAGAAGCCTTAGGCCGGACGCTGAGACTTACTGGTGAGATAGGCCTGGATGGCACGATACACCTCTCGCTCGCTGACCTTCAAAGCGGTGCCGTTATGACTCAGTTTGTCCACGCTGCAAGTTGGAAGAGAAACAGCGGGGTTGCAAGGGTTAGTCTGGAAATGGAAGGGAACGGGTTTGCTGCTGAGCAATGGGGCAGCCTCCGAAGACAGAAAGGGGAAGCTAGGGGCTTTGCCTACTTCACATGACAGGACCATTGGACCAAACGGGGCCTCCTAAGCCATTCGGTCTCATTCCCAGTTGAAACAAGTCTTCGTCGTGACCGTTCGCATAAGGATGGGGAATCCTCCCTGTGCCCCCCCCTTGCCGCACTTACATCTTGCGGAAAGCCGTGCACGTGGCTTGCACGGTGTCACTGGAGCTCAGCAGGGGACTTTGGAGAGAGCTGAAGTACGGCGACAGGCGTGTGCTGAGCCAGGCATCCACCTCCGTCTCACGGTCACTCCTGACCACCGCAGGCCACACGCCTGCCAGAATGGCTGCTCTGGTGTCCCTGGGGAGGGTCTCCTACAAGAGAAGCAAAGGGACACGGTACTTTGCAGGTGATGGCCTCGCACCCATGAAGCACGAAGAGCTTTACTCTCAGACCCCAGGGCTGATATCAACACCATCCCTTTTCTGCAGAGCCTGTGCTGTGCTGGCAGTGGGGATGGGGCAACGAATACAGGTCCTTTCCTTCTCTTGGTGGACTTCACCACCCAGCTACAATCTCATATTGGCATTCAACTATAGCAACTAACCCTCTCCCAGATTCACAGTTGTGCTGGTTGGAGGGGGAAAAAAGGTTTATTGGGATCAACTATTGCTTCAGCACAGCAGTCATAGAGGCAGACTTTAGTCCTCAACTTGGAGGCAGTCCCATGGTCCTTTTGAATTATGCATATTTTTTTTCTCCCTTTTTCTTTTTGTCCTTCTAACCTTTTCAAGCCCAATTAAATGTTGTGGGAAATGTCCGACAAGGTCCAGGATGTCCTAAAGACAAAGCTTTTCCTTCATTTTTGTGCCTAATGCTCTCGGGGGAAATGTTCTTTCTGGGATCCTATGACCCCAGCTGACTTCCTACCCCTGGGGCGGGGGCTGGACTCGATGATCCTCCGAGGTCCCTTCCAGCCCGAATGTCTACGAAATCTATGAAATTCATGGGACTTTCTGAATCCTCTTGCTTGGGACGTGCTAGTTCACGTGACAAGCAAGGTGTTTCTCTAAAGTCCAATCCAACGTGGAGATTTGCTTGGCTTGTTGGATAGCAAGAAGCAAATGCTTGACCTACCGCAATGCTCTTCTTGTTCAGCTGGTCAATAAAGTCCCCTTTCCTTTCATAGGTCTTCACAAGAGCGGTCAGGAAGGCGTCGTCGTTGAGGAACGCAGGGCTGGAGAACAGGTTGGCCAAGGCGGCAGGAGCCATCGTGTTTGCAATCTGGAACGAAGACATCCACAGGAGGGTGGGGAAGGCAGACAACTGTATCCCCAGGAATGTGATAGGAGCCATTCGTGTGATTATGAATGTGAGAGGAGCTGAGACGATTGCAGAGATGCCGGCCGTGATCTTTGAACAGTCATGACCATCGGGGAGGTCCCAGGGCAAATATAGTGCCCACCTTTAAGGAAAGGGCTCTGTGACCGAGGGACTCAAGGGGTGAGCCAGAGCCCAGAAAGTTGTGCATTCAAGCCTGGGTGACCCTGAGCTTCCCAGCTGGAAACAGCAGCTCTTGTGGGTTTAACTTTCTCACTAGGAGGGTGGTGAAGCACTGGAAGGGATTACCTAGTGAGGTGGTGCAATCTCTCTCCATCCTTGGGGGTGTTTAAGACCCGGCTAGACAAAGCCTTGGCTGGGATGAAGTAGCTGGGGCTGGTCCTGCTTGGAGCAGGGGGCTGGACTGGATGTGACCTCCTGAGGTCCCTTCAACCTGAATTTCCTGTGATTAACAAGCTGCAGAGCTGTTCAGCTTCAGAATGGGCAAAAGGCAGGTCTTCAGCATTGCAAACTTCCCAAGTCTGAGCTGGAGTTGCCACTTCGAGTAATGAAACGAGTTCATACTCGGTAGCTGGGCAGCTCTCAGCAGCTCTGTCAAGACCATCAACACCAGAGCCAATTCATGCTGACTTTAGTGGTGGGTTTTGCAACAGAGATTAGACCTGCCCATGGGCGACTGGCGCCTCCCAAGTCTGGGGGAGCACCAGATCGCCGATGGAGAGTGGGGGGTTCGTGGCTGGTGGTTCCAGGGGGCGCACGGCCGATCTCGGGGTGCACGTTCATCTGCGTGCACCCCCTAGACGTCACCAATGGACCTGTCGACTAAGAACCGGACTCAGAGCTATTGTGTGGGGCCCAGCTCTGCAAAGCCTCAGTCACGGGGGGAAAGCCTCGATAATGCCCATGGGAACTACATGTGTGTGTAAAGGTTTCTCATTACAAGTCAAATTTTTCAGAACAAACCTCTTTGGGACAGCAGGCGGCGGAAAGAGCATCAGAAACATCTGACAGTAAAAAGAGAAGAGGTGTGTTTGGGGAGAAACTGTCTTACAGACACTATTGTGATGAGCCCTATAAACACACAGGGTAGATTGGAGGGATAGAGAAATGCCTCTGAAGCCCAGACACTGGATATGCAGAGAGGTCTAACGTATTGCTCATGTGGGCTGTACGGACACATGGGCTGGCTGCAGCAAGACGATGCATGCGTGGTACCTTTTGGATGCCAGACGCTGGAATGATGGATCTGAGATCTCTCAGGTTCAGGAAAGCGCCAAAGCCCTGAAATGTCTCTCTCAAATACACAGCAAAGCTGGTGTCTGTGGTGTAGCACTGGAGCGAGGAGTCTGAAACAACCAGAGAGAAAAGGCGGTGAATTTAAAGTACAAATGCATGGGAGTGGGGCTCTCCAGGGGGATTAGCCAAAGGACAACAGCGGTTGTACACCGTATTGCATGCATCTCTGCATGTGCAGACACACGCAGGTATTAGGAAAGGTCAGTGTTTTGCAAAAGCAGCAGAAGCAGGCGGCCAAACTCGGCTGTGATCAATGCGTCTTACTTGCTGTCCGGTCCCGTATCTCCTGGTAAATGCTGTGCTGCGTGGGGCTGCCGAAGTCGGCGATGGAGTTATTAAGTACAGTCACCCTGTGACACAAGCACAAACACATCATTTAGCTCACAGAGCCGCTCTCTCCTGGGATTTCAGCTTCTTGCAGGTAGCGCAGACATCTCTGTAATATTTTGGGCTTTCCAGAGACAGTTTTATCGCTAAGAAGCGAGCACGTACAGGGGCCATTTATTAACTTGGTGGCCTTCTCTAGCTTTCCCAGTAGCCGGGAGTCTTTGAATTGACCTCATTGTGCAGCTTTGGGTCATCACCATAAGCAATAATAATCATGCAATGAACAGTGGGAGCTGCACGATGCACTGATCCCATCCTAGGAATAAGTCAGGGCATCTGCATCACTTAAGCCATACAGCTTCCTCTCTCTGCAGCTGCAAAACAGGGATCACCAGACTTCCCCGTCCATGTGAAATGCTTTGTAACCCTTTTAGGGAAGGCACCACTGGATAATACCGGTGTCTGGGACCCCCTGGTTGAGATTTTTCCGTCCATGTTGTTTTTCAATGGGAAATGGGGCTTTTGAGGGGAAGCGACGGTGTTTCAGGACAAGCGTCCGCACTGGAGCCCAGGTCTCCCTTGATGCAGGCTGGTGGCTCACCCAGGGAGAGAGCATCATGGGAAGTGTAGTTCATGCATGGAGCCTGGCTTATAGAGGAGAACAGGGTCAGGAGGTGCCTGGACTCCAGGGACTCGACCACAGCTGTCCCTGGAAATGGCCTGGGTCTTAGTGGACCCATCTCAGAGTTAGATTTTTTTGCACTGAAAAAAGAAGGGAAATTCCAGCTGCAATTAATGACAGCCCTCTTGCAAAGCCACCCTAGGAAGAACGGGGAAGACAACAGCTCTTACACAGCCTTGACGGCAGTGCAGGTCCTGGTGTCCAAGCCCTCGAAAAACAGGGGGACGTGGGTTCGGTTCAGCCCAGGAATCAAGCCGGCAAGGCGAGGATTCATCCAGTGCATGAACTCTGTATCGTTTGCTGCCTGCAGAATCGGCCTCGCTGCCATGAGGACGTGTTGCAACAGCACGGCTTTGGTCTCTGTCTCCAGGCTGCTGTTGGCCTGGAAGAAGTGGAAGGAGAAGGGCGAGGTATGGAAAGTGATGCCAAGCACGGCGGCTGCCTGCTTCCTGCGGAGAGGGGACTTTGCACAGCAAACCTGCACCAGTTGGGTTTTTTCCTCTTGCTTTTTTCCTGTCTTCTTCATGCCCTCACCCCTGCTTTGAAAAATAAAAGCTCTCCCAAACTCTCCCAAACCCAGCCTTCATTTTCCCTTCGTACGCCTGCGTGTACCTCCTGGAGAGGGAGGGAAGTTGTTACCAAGGATGGACATAAGGAGCAGGTACTGTGCAGCACCTCCAGGCCTGTTTAAGGAGAGCATTGATCATCTCAGAGCCGTGAATCCTACAACAGGTTTTGCCCCCAAATTTCAACTAACGTCAGCAGTAGGTCCTCAAACGGCGGCAGAGCAGAGCATAACCTGGGACGCTGGAAGGATTATGGGGATGGCTCTCACCAGGTGGACTTGTCTGTTCAATTCATCAATATATTCGGCAACAGTTGAGTTGGTGACAAAAGCCAGGAGTCTCTGGAGATCTTTGGTTGCTTCCACGGTCCCGTTGGCGACTGTTAGCTGTGCCAGTTGCTTCACGGTCAAGCTGTGGAGCACGTCAAACTAAGACAGAGAAAGAGCAAAAGGAAGTTAGGAATGAAGCATCTGATTTGGAGAGCAGGGAAACCAGAGGCGGCTATCCTCGTGATCCATAGTTTTATAGTTGTTAGGGGCTGGAAGGGACCTTACAGCACTTGGGCAGGAAAGTAAAACTTGACCCCAGCAAGATGGGCATCAAGACATTTTTTTAAAGATCGCCAGGGTGGATGATCCAAGGAAGACCATGGATGGCTTCAGTTTTCTGAAAACACCCTGGGTTGGAGAGGGTTGGGATTGGATTGATTTCCATTGGAGGGACTCCGGATCACAAGACCGATGACTTGAGACTACAAAGAGCTCAACAGCATATACAGCAGCTCACCCTCCCGTCCTGTCCACGGGGTCCCTAATTTTGATATGCTCCAGCTCTTGG